AATAATATAGTTAAAATAAATTGGAAAAAATAAAGTCAAAACATATGAATGTAGGGTGACCTTATCATCATATCGCACACTATATTCTAGCAGTCTCTGTTTTGATTATTTATTTACGCAATTTCAACGAAGGACAGGGTAAATAAAACGAATAAACAGTTTTTAGTAGCATGCAAAAAATAAAAAATTGATAAAAAAAAGGCGCTGAAATAAATAATCACCCAATTTCATAAAAATAAAAAAAAAGACTTAACTGCTTTATAAATGCGAAATTTGTATGAAAAGCTCTTTGATCCTATTTTTTTATTTATGAATAAGGTCAAATGCCTTCAGCGGAGAAATAACTAAAAATTATAAATTCATTTTCTATTTCATCAGTATTTGGATATGATAGTAAATTTCTCCAAAAAATTCATTGCCCCAATTCAAATTAACAAATGCACACATTTGTATTCACAAATATGAACGTACGTACATATGTCGGATTTCTATGAAACTCACAGATCCATTTCTGTATCTCTGCTTTGATCTAAATACATAAGAAATAGATAAGCACATAATTTCTCACCACTAAAATCATACTTATAGAAAAAAAAAACTATGAAACCTTATGAAACATTTATGCATCTTTAATATGTACATATTTATGTAGGTTTGTCTTTAGATTTTCTTGTGTAGTTTGAGTGCGCTAAATATGCGAAAAATTATGTCATAGCAATTATCTAAGTTTAAATAAAATAATTTATATGAAAAGCAGATTGAAAAAAAACCAAAACAAAAAAGAAACGAAATAAAAAAGTTTAATTCAAAAATTAAAACTTTAATTAAAGTAGTTTGATTTTAAAATTTTTATATCTTCTTATACGTCCTATATGGCTCTACAACAGTTCGTCTGGGCCGAGACGCCAAAAAACTGGACTATTTTCCTAACTCCTTTTCCAAGCTAAGCTATTCACATGAACTGCAGACGGGTATTTCCGTCACGCACGCGCACAGGGCCATATATGTATATTGCGTAGAATAATATTCTCGAAAGGGCCCTTAATTAAAGACTTCTTATCTCAATGTCAATCGTCAATGATATACAGCAACAGTTGGCTTACGGTCAAAGTTCCCGAGAGCCGCGAAGAGATAGGGGGCGAGGTATCCAGGTGGTTCGAAATGATTGTTAAACGGTGTTTACATGTGGCGATTTCCCAGGCAATTTTAGAGGCTATTAGTTGAAACAAAAGTTGGCCGCCCTCAAACTTCATTGGAAGTGATCAGTTGATCAGGCGATTGTTGCTTTCAACTAAAAGTTGCCTGTGAAATTGCCTCATGTAAACACCGTATTAGAATGCAACAAGCTGTTGTGTTTTCCTTACAGCTTGTGCATGTTCCATTGCGCTGAAAATCCTTGGCCATGTACGGGTGTGTAAAACGAGGACATAACTTTTTGTAGGGTAAAGGCTCAATTGCACATTCTACACTGCGACGGCGGCATTGGAAGTGAAAAGATATTGGCGAAAAACTAGCTGAGCAAAGTAATGGAACTCATACCATAAAGTGCAATTATGGAGGCATTGAACTAGGCCATTTGCCTAAAGAATGTTTTTGCCAACCGTTTTTCTATCCTCTTGTGAATTTGCTCAACCGCCGTCCAGTTAATGGGATCATTATAAAACTTCTAGCTGATCATCTATTGCTAAATGCATCCATTTGCAGAAACTTACATTTATACCCATTAAGCAGGTAATTCAAATGCGTCTTCTCCCAATGGAGCTCGAGTTATTTTTTCATAGTTTTTAAATTCTGGCAACGGTTTACTACGGGTAGTGGCTGGCAGGTGGTGGTAGGCTCAGCAGAACTAGCTAAGCAGCTTTGGCGTTCTTTAGCCGCGAAATTACTATTTGTATCACGTCATAGTCGGGCGGTGAGACATCGATTCCGTCGACCTCGACTGTGTCTCTGGTTCATGTTGTTGTTTTTGTAGCGGCTACTAAGCCCCGCTAGGGTCGGTTCATCCGTCAACGTTGTTGCCTGTTTCAGCTAAGGGGAGGCCCAGGAAGTGTGCGACTTCAACAGGGTCTGTCCATAAGCACGGGGGCGTCAGCTGGGTGGTTGGGCACATCCTCATTAATTCTGCTCAGATATGAGTTTTGCCTGCTGCCATAGCCAGAGCAAAGTTGGCTATTGTGGTGCGGGTCCCCCGAGGCAGACAAAGTTTTGTCCCGTCCACGTTAGGTGGTTGAGTGCCTAGAACGGCATTCACAAGCCGGGCGCCTCCATAGCGCGGACTGATTCCCTGTGAATACCATACAGGGCCTGTCGGAAGGCTGACGGGTCCAGAGGTTATTTAATGAACCTCTGAACTTCATCCGTCAGTTCGTAGAGATGCCTACTGACGTACCTTGGCGAGGACTCTTCTGCAAGCAGCTGTTTGCTGGAATGACCACGTCTGTGGCTCTCCACAAGGAACTAATTGCAGAGCATTGTGTTATGCTCCTTGACTGGGAGCATCTGAGCCTCGTCGTGTAGGTGGTGTTGTGGCGTCTCGCTGGCCGGTCGCTGTCCGTTGTGCCGTATACTAGCAAGTCTGTAGCTTCATCCACTGGGTCCTGCTAGTCCCAGGCAACCACACGGGCGCTGCATAGTTTAGAACCCGCCGGCCAATTGCCTTGTACGTTGCCAACAACGTTCATCTTCTCCTCTGGTTGCAGTGACCTTTAGCAGATTGCAGTTCGTTCGATAATTAAATAATGTTTTGGACATTGGTAATTAGGTCGCCGTGCTTGTCTTTGCTGGTTTTTAATCCCTCCGTAAACGCTTAATTCAATGCTAAAATTTTCACGGGTTTTTCTTATCGGCCAGCATCATAAGCTCTCAACACTCACGTATTTTTGCTTATCTTTCTTTATGGCGGAAAATACGCCTCGCTTCACTCTTTAGCGAACCCGATAGCACCCTGGTCTTGCAGATGGCATATTTGTCTCTAAAGTGGGATTAAATTTCTCGCGGTATTAGTTTTGTTTCTTGTGCACTTGTGATTGCAGCTTTTCAACGCTCTACTGAGTGCATGAGCAGAAGGATGAGTAGTGTATCCAGCTAGCTAAATACGTAATACAGTGATACCTCCCTTGGGCGTACACTCACCGCCAGTCAAATTTTGTCCGCCCAAGTAAGATGTCCGCTCAAGGGGGGTAGATCATTTTAGAATTTTAAAAATTAAGTATAAGGAGTTCGCGTTCGAAAAATAGAGGTTTTTGTGTCGTCCTGAAAAGAGATCAAGACAGCTCAAGAGAGGCTTATTTATGATGACAATTTTACCTATGAATTGGTATATAGAGTTAAGATGCGTCGGGAGGAATTTAGGTGAGTGGAGTTGAGGTGAGATAAGGTGAGGTGGGATTAAGTTTAAGGTGACATATTTTAATCTTCAGTTTTATCTTTTCCTTTGGCTCGTTATCTTCATCTCCACCTATAGTTAATTTTTTTTATCTTCATATTTACTGGTTTCTTCACCCTTATATTTAGATTTGTCTTTATCTTTATTTTTTCTTTGTCTTTGTCTTCATCGATACAGATCTGATGACGTAGTGTTAAATATTTATCGAAAGCATCTGCTGACTCCATTATTTGAATCTAATTTTCTAACATATGGCAACCGTTTTCAAAACATCTAAAACCATAATGCACATCGACATAACAGGCCCTTCAATTCGACACCTAATGACCTGGTCTTAAATATTTAACGCAAACATCTCCGAACTAGATTAAGAAGTTTCACTTCAAAAATGTCCGCTCAAGGGAAGTTCCCGTCTACTGAGGCGCCCGTTAGGAGAGGTTACCTACTCGGCTACGGTGGTCAAAAGCTGTGTTAGCTTTTAAATTCATAGTTTTCATGTGCATAGACTGTAGAAGGGAGAGCAATGAATAATTTGTGGTATTTTCGACGCGGGATGCCAATTTACCTTGGACTCCCAGTTGCTCAAATATAATTTTGACAGAAAAAAATATTTTTCATAATTTTTGCGGCCATCCTTTTGTCCACCATTTGACAGCATTTATACACAGGGTAAAAATATGCGATTTACCTACATAAGTATATTATTTTATTATAAAATGTTTTCATAAAAAACAATTACAAATGATCGTAATCTAAGTAATTTATTCAATATTTCTCTTTCGGTTGTATGTATAAACATAAAATTAATAATAAAGGAAGTATAATAAAGTCGTTCGATAAATTAAACATTAAAATAAATATTGCAAGAATAAAAAGTGTGAATAAGAACAAAATTTTAACAAATGTTATAGAATTGTACTTAAACAAAATAGTAGAAATTTTATTGAAGAATATAAAAATTAATAGGAAAATTAAATTGAAAAAAGGAAATGCAAGGTAAGTCAAGAAGTTGCAGTTCCAAATAAGAATTCTACAACTAAGTACAAGTATTTTATTAAAATAAATTTAGCTAAAAGTACTGCATATGCGGTATAAGGTAATAAAAAAAAAATAATAATAATAATAATTCGCGAAAAGTTCTGTGGAAGGCTTAAAGGGAGAGGCTCATTTTATTGCTCCCTTGAGAGCGAGAATATTTATTACAAATAAACAGAAAGTTTAGTAAGTACTAATACATATTAGCGGATTATTCACATACACTTACATATGTATTATTTGTTTACATGCTAGAAGTGCATAAGTCTTTGAGGTTTTTTTTTATTTATTTCCACTCTCTTTTACTGTATTATTTTATTACTGCGTATTTCTTTTATGTTTTTTTTTTATTAGCATTTCATTTGTTTAACCACTTATCACTGTACTCTCTCTCTATTAGTGAGAGTTCAAAAGTAGTCGCTTGTATAGAAAAAGTACTTATGTCCATAAGTAAAAGTAAAAAATTAAGCCACGAAAATGCGTTGGTGTGCCAAAATATTTCGTGCATTTTTTGCAGCTAAGTAAATTTAACAAAGTCTAGGCTGCTGCAAGCACACAGAGGCATCACAGCACTTACTCGTTTGCCGAATTTCTGTGCGGTTTTTACTTTATTTTATCTTAACTTAATACACTAAATAGCGTCTATCAAAAAGTGTTTGACTTTCTGACATTTTCTGCTACTTCCTCTATATAGTATGTATGTATGTATGTATATGTAGGTTTCCTTGCTGCTATCATCTTCGGCTGCGCATTTACAAAGACGCTATGAACGGTGTCAAATCGGGGAATTTGAAAATATTTTGTGGTCGTGAACGTTGCACACGCACCGGTGCTTGTACTGAGGCTTGACGCGCCTGCGCAAAGTTGCCGCCATTGCCGTTGCCATTCAAATAGATGCCACACTGTGAGTTGCATACTTCATCACGTAGAATGGCGTCTTTGGGCCATTGACGTATCAGTTGGCCGCAATCGGTAATGCGTAGCGAGGCGCACTGTGGCTGTGGGGGTGAAAGAGCGCGATTTTTTATATTATTTTTTTTTGTATTACATACACTGGCTGAAATTAGAATTTTTTTGGTTAATTTTTCAACTTACGCCTTCGGCTGAGCACACACAGCTGGTACAGGGTGATGGGAATGCGGATTCACCAACGCGCACATGTCTATTGCCTATCTGACAGCCTTGCACATTTTCACGCCACAAACTTAGATCGATTTGCGGCATGGAAGAGCAGGGCACACGTGGATTGCTGAAATGAGAGAAGGAGAAGAAGAAGACAGAAGTAGTAAAATTAAAATAAATTCTTAACAGAAGAAATTTTTAATGAAAAAAAGGGCTGTTTACCGTTTACTTTTTTCACTCTTAATATATATGTACAATAGGGTTTTCAAAATTTTTTTTCCGGCACCCCTCAGAATTGCAAAATACGAAAATAATACTTTTTTTCTTAATTGGTTAATATTTAACCGTGCCGCCAGGGCTTTGAAGTTTTCGATATATTTTATATGGGCAATATCGAATTTTTCTTAGAAGTGCTATAAAGTCGTTAAAATAAATATTGAATTTCCACCCATGGGCCAAGCAGAAGGAATCATGGAATATTTTTTCATCGAATAAGAATATTTCCCTTCAGAGATCTTCAAGACATAAAATTATGATGCATATTTAACTTTAAAATTTTACTAACTACTTTTCAAAACCGATAATTTTATCTGTTATATACAAAAATTTATAATTTTATGTGTTCTTAAAAAGTTCGAAAAAAAACTCCTAAAATTTCAAAGTTAAATATATTTTAAGATTTTACTATTTTAATACCTCTGAGGGATAAATTTTTATTCGATCCTACAACCTACAAAAAAAATTTAAATCCGCATGTAAAATATATAGAAAACTTCAAAGCCCCATCGGCACGAGCAAATATTAACCGATTTGAAAATGAAAAAGTACAGGTCTCCTAATTTTAGATATTCTTCAGTTTTTTTTTAAAGTTCCAAAAAGTTGAGTTTCCTGTGCATTTTTGGACCACCATCATACACATGATAAAAACAGACACGACCTTTTATACAAAAAATTACAGATCACCAGCAGCGCAGCTCAGCACCTGGCTGCACAGCGGTCAAATGGCGAACAAATCCCAAATGCTTGGATCCATACGAGAAAAAAAACAATGTAAATGCGTGGAGAAATCGACCTTAATTGTGGAATATTCGCAAAATTCGTGATAAATGCTTGACATCTGACTAAGGGTCAAGCCTCTAGAAAGTGCCATTTTTACGAGCCAAATGATAAGTGGTGGTTTCCCATATTCATTTTAGCTGTTCTTGAGTGACCCATAATGTTATACAAAAAAAAGTAAAGACGGAATTTTGATTGCTCTTACACTCCAGGGTGGCTTCTTCTGAAAAAAATATACCCCGGTTTTCTTATTTTGAAATCAAAAAAAAAAAAAAAAACTTAAGGTCGCTCAAAGCGCTCAAAGTTTTTCGTGTATTTTAAATGGAGAAGAACTATTTTTTTCGCGATCGGAAAACATTTTTATCTTCAGGAGACTATCAATAATAATACTCTATTGTTTATTTAATCATTTTCTATTATTAAAAATTTTTTAGGATCCCTAAAAACATCAAAAAAATAAAAACGGTATGGGGGCGACCCATTAAAAAAGGTAGAAGAAACAATTAGTTGTTACTATTGGCAGTCTCCTGAAGAGAAAGAAAGATTTTCGATTCGAAAAATATTGATTTTCTAAACTTGATTCGAAAACTTTTTTTTTCCATATAAAATACATGGAAATCTTTGAGCCCTTTGAACCACCTGTAAATAATTTTTTGATTTCAATATAAAAAGGCAGTGGTGTTGTTTTTTTCAGTATAGAACAATCCTATATGGTAAGAGCATTAAAATTCCGACTTTACTTTTTCATATGTATTTTTGGACCACCCTATTGAACACCCATCAATTCTGTACGCTTGTAAATTATCCAGTATCAATATACTATCAACAATGACGTGGGTGCCAAGGCGCTTATGCTTATGCTGACTGTTTGCCGAATGACAGGATATAAGTACTTAGTCTTGTTCTCGTTCACCACCAAACCCATTCGCTTAGCTTCTCTATTTAATTCCAAAAGGTTCTAAGGGTGAGTTAAAAAGTGCAATCCAAGAACAAGATACAGACGTTTAGACCGTAACCTCGCAAAAGCTGGGGAGCTTAAGATAAATTGTTGACATGTTTCCACCTTATCGTCAACTAAGCATTATGAGGATCCGGCATGATATTTAGTCCCAAGCGTAGTTTTTCAGCCTGTATTAACTCAAAAATGCTCCCACCATCTCTTTTACCGGTGAGACCAATTCATCTGCTCCATCTAAGTCGGACTAGGAAATATTCAGAAGCAACTGAAAGGGAAGTCAGAAATTCCTTCCCATGCTCTGTTTTCCACTTGACTATCAAAGTCTTCCTCGTATGGTCCACGCAATCGGTTAGCTAATGGATTACTTTCGCAGTTACGTCGGCCTGGAAAAAAGCTACAGTGAGCAAGAAGCCTAATTTTGAGATAGATGGAAGACTTCCTCCAAAACACCTCTCCACCAATCCTTCCTTCAAGCTTAAACTCATTCGTATTGACGTTCTCCGGTGCCTTCTTGCAACTACAGCTTCTACTAACAGCTCCTCGAGCAGATCGCTTACGACCAGAATCCAAAGAATGGAATAAAATAAAAGAATTTACTTAGTTAATTTCAACCAACAAAAGACGCGTGCAAAAGTACTTTGAGACTTTGGCTTCACTAAAGACTGGATACAAAAGTACTTAGTAATTTTGACTTGATTAAACACTATTTCCTCAGTGTAAATATGAAGAATTTTGGGATTCGGGCCTGTGGGTCTTCTTCTGAATTTTCGGGACCATTTTAGGATTTTTCGGGACTATTTCGGGATGTTCAGGATCTTAAGGTTATCGACACTTTTCGGGATTCCCTGTATTCTCGAGTTTACTTTGGGATTTTCAAGACTATTTCCGGATTTTCGGACCTTTTGGAATTCTCGGAACCATTTCATGATTTCCGGGATTCTTGGAACTATGTCATCGTTTTTGGGACTACTTCGAGATTTTCGGGAATATTTGAGATTTTCGAGATGCTCGGAACTATCTCGGGGTTTTATCAGGGTTTTCCAGACTATTTCGAAATTTCGGGACTATTTCGGTATTCTCAAAATTAATTAGGGATTTTCTGAACTATATCGTGGTTTTCGGGACTATTTCGGATTTTTCGGGATTATCTCGGGATTTTTCGGGACTACAACGGGATTTCGGAGATAATTCAGATAGATCAGCTTGGTTTTATGTGAATAAGACAAGGAGTTAGAATAATTAATTTCAGCACCGACACCTACAACATTAACCCGAACTTAGCATCAATTTAGACACCACTATATAACGTAAAGTTAAGAAAATTGTACGTTGGTTTACTCACAGGAAGTTACTGGGCAGATCGAGAGCAGCACGTTGCATATCGCCAGGAATCTCCAAGTTATCACAAATGAATTTCGCCAATGTCACCTTACGAATTTCAGCGAGTTGTGCCTCGGTGAAACGTACTTCAGAATTAGCGTTTTCATACCTGAAAGGAAAGAAAGACATTTTCTTAATCAAAATTTTCCAATGAAGCATCTATCTGAACTCACCAGAAACGATCACATTTGCGCAGTTGACGAAATTGTATGCCAATAATGCAAGCCAATGTAGGACCAACCAAACCACCTTGCAACGGACGTTCGGTCATAGCGCCAGGGAAGAGATCAATGTCATCGACGGAAGCATAGATTTTCTTGAAACGATTAATAACTTCATTTGGCATTTCGCGACTCAGATCGCTCCAGGTAGCGGCACGTTTCAGATTGCAAAGAGCGCGATAGTTGTTGTAGCTGGGAATGCCATGATCACGTGCTGAATATATTCGAAATATATATATTTATTTAGTATGGAACTGATTTGTGTTATTTGAACACTTACCTCTCTGAATATTGAGCGCGATAAGATCAATGCCGGAGAAGGGAATTTTGCGGTCTTCGAACAAGTGATTAGTAACTTCGCCAGTGATGAACTGATCCAAAGTTTCCATGGGAGTGGCGACTAGACCACGCGAAATTTCGTCAATGATGCCGGGCTGTCGAGAAAAAAATCGTTTGTTATTAATGCACATGCATTCCGAAATCCATTTTTTGTCATGAACTCACCTGCAGCATAGCATCCATGCGGAAGAAACCATCGCGCAACAGCAGTGGTGGGTCGACAGGTTGGTGGTTCACACTCAAGCGTGGTATGTGTGGACGCAGCAGAGAATGGCCGATACGGAAGGCGGCAGCAGCGAATTCGTTGAAAATAATCGGGCTGCATGAGGGATTGTAGTCCTTGTAGTAGCCTTGAGGCAGTAATTTCAAGCCATACAAATTCACAGCGTTCCAGCTGAGCACGCGTGGCAAGAACTCATTGAACACCATATGCTGCCACTCGGCGGTGAGTATGCGACGCGCGTGGAAGAACAATTGATCGCTATTCCAGTGTGGATTCACGCCACGTAGTCCTTCGACAATGCGGTTGTGTTCACGCATGAAGATGGTGTGGAGAGCAGTGAGACCTGGCTGTTCGGAAGCGCGTTCATCACCAGCTATATAACAGAGACCATTGCGCGATTTGCACTCGGGATGCGAATTGGATTGTGGCAACAATTCCTTGCCAAACGAACGGATGGTGGAGTTCAAGCGACCGCCGAAACCACGCAGCTTATTAACCACACAATGGTTCTCACCATAGACCATAGAGGCATCCAAGAAGTGCGTATTCTGATTGACCTGTTCACGTGGACCCAAAGCCAATTGACCGGGCAGCGATCTCATCGACGGGAAGCAGAAACGTTCACCGCTCGTCACATTCACTTCGGGGAAGAAGTAATCGCCCGGTGGCACAGGGAATGGATTGCACTCAGGATGCACAGTTTGCGGTGAATTGCAAGGACGACAGCTGGGTATAGATTCATGGAAACCCTTATGGATGGGAGTCATTGTAAGATCGTGATCGAGGATTTGAGCAAACTGCATGACCATGAGGGAGTAGCGCGTGTGCAAGTTGGAGATATCCGGATGGATGACAGTCGAGATGCTGCGTGGATTCGGCAGCAGGCTACCGGTGACCGAGAGTAGACGTACCTTGGAGATGCCATCGTCATATTGGGAGGGCAGCAGACGCGAGAATGTGGTCAACGACTTGCCCCAGTTCGGGTTGCGTAAATTATTGCAGTAACCGGTGACGCTGCGGAAGGGTGAAGAAGTATCGCACGCAATTGGTGGATCATCGCAATCGCTGCTGACTTGCTGCGTGGTCCCGCCAAGTATAGCATTAATGTCGATTGTTTGTAGAGTTTCTGAGAGTTCATTGCGATTGAAGTTGCTGTCAAAAGTTTGACGTTTGCGACGATTAATGGAGTTGAGTGTATTCAAAATCTCATTCGAAGTCAATTCGAACATGAGCGAAGAGTTGGCGAGCGCGAGTGCATTGCGGTTAGCCTTGCTGAAGGAAGCGGCCACACCATCGGGTGACTTGGCGCTGATGCCGCCATCTGTGAAGAGACGGGGAGAGAGCGTTGCGAGAATAAAGTTATTTCAGTTAAAAAGCCAGAAACTTACTCGCTAGCCAAGACTCATATTCGAAACGTTTGCGTTCCTCTAGTTCCAGCTTTGCGCGTTCTACGGCAGCTTCCAAAAGATCAATATTGATTTCGCTGATTGCCTCTTTCACTTCAGGCTCCATTTCGACGTGTTCATGCATCTCATCTAATTCGATACTTGATCGCCATGGACGCAGATCTAATGTAGCGATTTGGTCGCAGTCGAGTACGGAGTTTCTAAATGTGTGAGAGAAATTTTTTTTGGAAGTTAATATAAAGGGCACCTAGAAACTCTGTAAAGGACTTACAAGAAATTATCTTCGCGTATGAAAGCCTTCGATTGTACCTTCTCCACCTGATTTGAGGTACAGAGCAGGCCAGCGAGCGTAGTTTGTCTGATGCTTTTCAGCTGTTCCAAAGTAAATGATGAAGGAGGAATATCGTTTTCATACCAGAAACGATCAGACTTCTTCAACAGCTCGAATTGACGTGTAAGCAGACAGGTAATGGTAGGACCGAAGAGCGCGCCAACGGCGGGGTCCTCGAGCAGAGCACCAACCAACAAATCCACATCATCGGCGCTTCTAAAAATGCGATTGAAACAAGGGGTGAGAAAAAAGTTTCCATTTGTGAGTTGACAGCACTTACTGGTAGATATCTCGCAAACTGGTGATGTGCTCCTCTGGAATATTCGAAATCTTAGCCAACGTTTCGAAGGTAATGTTCGCCGAGTCCGATGGTGAGTATTGTTCCTGGCACAAATCCAAAGCATGGCGGTAGGAAGGAATGCCATGATCACGACCACGGTGTATGGCTAAAGCGAGTTCGGTCCAACCGTCCTCATTTTTGATGGCGGGGATAAGAGACTTCTGAAGCGCAGCCACTGAAAGCAACTGAGTGGCGGACATGGAATGCGAGATCTACAGAGCAGTTTATGAAGTAATTAGTTTATAAGGATGAGGTAAAGGCAGACAGACAACTAACCATCTCTGGTGGATACATGGTGAGGAAAGCGGGGAAGGCGCTATTTGCGACTTCATTATAAACGCCAGCATGATTGGTGCTCGAGTAGTTCGATGAGTGCTTTTCGGCAGTGAGTCTGCGGAGGGAAGAATTGCAAGTAAGTTAAAAACTAACTTCAACTAATAAGTTATAAACTTACTTCAAGCCATCTTTGGCAGTTGTCTCTTGACCCAAAACCAACGGCAAGAATTCACTGTAGGTAATATGTTGAATTTGTGCAGTCACAATGCGTCGCGCCTCTAAGAAGACATCCTCTTCCGACCAATCGGCATTTAAGTGCGCCAACTGCTCGCCAATATTGTTGTGTTCCTGCAGCAGAGCACGATGCAGCGCCCCAGTAGCGCTGGTCAGCTGACAATATTTGCATGAACCAACTTTGACGCCACCACTAATGTAGGTGCGCAAGTCCTGCATATCACTGGCAGTAGCGCCATACAGACCAGAACCATCGATATACGAGGAGGCTACATTCATTTGCTCGCGCTGACCTAAAAGCACAGAAGTATGTACACAATTTAGTACCAACTTCTTCTCTGTAGGAAAAAAAAAAAAAACAAAATAAGTTTCACAACTTACGCTTTCCGCACGCGTCCGCATCATAGCCAGGCGCTGAGCGCTTATACTCCTTGCAATCGACGCCACGTCGCACATAGCATTGCTCTAACTCTTCCGGATTCTTAGCGTTGGCATTTTCATTGCAACACTTTGCGTTTGTCGACACCTGACTCACCTCGTACAAGTCATTGGCGAGGAATTGTCCCCATGCGGGCAGCATGGCAGTGATGTGCTGATGCCGCAGTTCGGCGTCGACATGATTTTGCAGCTGATCGATAATGCTGCTCGCATCGGGTAGCGCGTGTGTGCCATGCGAAGTGCGTGGTTGGCTGATGCCATCAGCATAGTCGGGTGCGATGAGACGCAGCAGCACATCACCGCGTGCACCCCATTTACGATGCGAGATGTTATTACATTCGCCGGTCGGTTGGCGATACTTGCTCGGTGGGCAGATTTCGGTATCTGTTTGATTGCAAGGTTGCAATGAGCGTGCACGCTCGAAGCGAAGTGCGGTCTGAGCATTGGCTTGCAGGTCATCTGGGGTGCGTAGTGCGTGTGCCACAGCAAGGAGGCAACTGAAAGGAGAAAATTGAAGAATATGGAAATTAATAAAATGTGATTGTTTGATTTTAAAAATTTAACAACCACTCTTGTGATTGGTTACAAATTGTAAACACAAAACATTTAGTGTGTTATGGAATGGTTGAGACCAAAATGTATTTAACAAAGTGTGATTGAATTTGACATTGCTCTCAGAAGAACCATCCTATAAAGTCAAATTGAGAAAATATTTTACGAATTTTTAATCGTTTGTTTATATTTGTTAGCATAATAGTACCTTAAAAGAGAGCGCCGACCTGAGCTGCCAATCACACTTTTGGTGACTTTCACTGCGCGTTTCATCGATGGAGTTGTGGAAACGGTTCAAAGTCATGTCTTCATTTAAGGATTTTTACTGCAACCTAGCCTAACCTAAGCCCTTATCAGTAACATATAACCTTTTCAGCGTTTTTGTGGCGAATTATCCAAATTTGAAGTAATGAAAATCATTGAAGATTTTAATAGGCTCTACCATCAAAATGTATTTTTCGTGGGTCGTACATCTTTTTATGAACTAATTTTTCAATGAACTTTTATTTTTTATCAAAGCCCCTTTTCTGCTTTAAATTAAGTGGCTTTCGTGCTTTTTGCCATAGTGGAATTAATTATTTTTTTACTATGCAAAAATTTTACTTGCTTACGTGCACGCTAACATTTAATCACAGTGCAACCAGTAATTTGATTATTCGAATGTGTTTAATTTTAAGTTTTAATTCTTATTTTCGCTGTTTATTCATATTTTTCTATTAAATCTTTTCATAGCGGTTTCTCAGCAAGCACCTTTTTTAACAGTTGTTTAAAACAGTATCCGGCTTTGGTGCGAATTTAGGCTAATTTGTAGAATGCTAAAGAGCAAAACAGGCAATATTTGCAAAACTTGTTTGGTTTATATTAATGAACTGGTATATGCTTTACGTATTCGATTGTTTTTTTGTATCACTTTATCAGAATTTTTCATGACTTAAATACATACATATGTGTTTATACCTAAATTTAAGATTTTTTATTTAGTACTCAATTGCTTGTCAGTAACCTTTAATAAATGGGCATTTTAGACGCTGAAACGGTATGATACAAGTTCAAGTTCATACCCAGTTATACGCTTGTATATGTGTATATCTAATTAGTTATGTATACATAATTAAGTAATAGCCATTGAATATTCCCTCATGCCGTCACGCATTCATTACCGTTACTTGTTTATCCAATTTCCCTTTAAGATCAGATGAGCACAATAATCAATAATAATGGGCCGTATGCATAAAAACTAAGCAATTTAATTTTCTTAAAATTTATACCTTTCACTTAAATTTATTTGAAAAAAAATCAAGTAGAAGCTCTGAAATTTATAGAAAAAGCATTTGCTAAGGTTTTATGCATACAGCACAATATGTAGATATGTCGGATACCCTGTATATGCTTCTCATTGTTTTTTACATAAACAAAATATATTTTTACCGGATTTGTTACTCAGCTTGTTAGCAAAATTTTCATACATTAAAGTAAGATGCTGCACTAACTATGCATAATTTATTGGGAACTCCGATAAGCAAATCATATTTTGTGTTAGGTAAAAATGTGGGAAATTTCGAGTTTAATTGAAATTTTATAACCGAGAAAATTTCCATATCGTGTTGGATGAGATTAGAAACTGCTTGAGGGCATGTAAACTAAAAATTAAATACAAAATCTAAAGAAATTATTAATGGAATTACGTCGAACCGGATTTGTGATATCTGTTTAGCTTCAATGTTGAACGAACAAAAGTATGGATTAGCAGAAAATTTTATTTATGCCTCTGTAATTTTTTTGCTTCCACTTACTGATAACAATTGTTAACAATTAAAACCTGATGAATACTTCAAGCTTTGCTTTAAGCTCTGCTAGGGAGCCATCGCCACACTCAGCAGTGTAATCTAATTTGAAGCAATCCTGAGAAACATCGCAGTCTTCTTAGCGAACTGGAACATTTTGTTTTATCCTACTTTGCCAGTTGCCCACAGATGTGATACAAAACATGCCTCTAGGAGACTTAACCACATCCCGCTAAGGATAGTTAAGCACCAAATTTTCAAAGGGTATTTTCCAAACCCATTCGTCCTTATGCACCAAAAAATTTGTTCTGATATAATTCGAAAGAGTTTTTTCTTTTATATGATACCCTTATTGTCATCCTACATTGCATCTAGTTTTTTAAATAATTTTTTGGAAATAATATATTTTTTAAATTTCAAAGCCCTTTAAAAAATCTTGATGCCAGAGAGGAGAACTAAGTACTCAGTTTTATTATAATTTACCCATAGTTTCGCGAATATATTAATTTTTTTGTTTATAATTTTACTGTCGCACGGTGTTACTATAATTATACTGTACAATATTTACAGTATTTTGTTTTCCTGGGAGGCGATGAAACCAAGTTTTTTAAAAATCTGGACCTCATGTAGAAAAGTAATTACTCAATTTTCCAATATTGACGATTTTAAGCATGTTTTTTTATTTTAATTTGAAGTTGGTGGTGACAATACAATAAAACAATAAAAAGTGATTTAAATGCAAATATTTATACACCCTAAGGGCCTATCTGGGAGTTCGCGGGTCAGGGGTATCTATATTTGGTCTTTATTTTTACCAAAGATCGCGCCAGGGTTGGCTTTGATGCAACAAATTTGGAAGGAAGAATGCAAACAATGTTTCTCAACAATGTCTTCATGGTTTTTTTGTGCTGAAGTGCGCCTAGTTAAAGTCTAAGCCCTAGTGGGATCTTTCATTTCCCGGAACATATTACCAGACCTGTCTTATCTGCGTTGACGGTAAACCCTTCATTGGTTGCCCAATGTCGCATGGCTGAGCTCTGGACGCATAAAATAAAATTTTTTATTAGCTCAAGTGAACGAAAAACACAAGCAAGAGCAGCGATTTTTTTAGTCCTGCGCCAACGTAAGATTTTCGTTTTCTCTGCTGCCATAAATGCAACTCAATATTTACTTAACACTTCCACATTCATTTGCACAAAACTTACATGGGCATACTTGAGTAGTTATTTCTCAAAATATGCTTCATTCATTACGTTTTGCTCAGTCGCAGCANACATTCCATTCGACAGGGTAAGCCCCCAAACTCACACATCCATACATACATCAGTGTTATGTGTGCACTGTGCAGCTATTCATCGGTGCGCATGCGCATGTTTTCGCTTACAGGTTTATTTAAGATGCTGCATTTGATTTTAGCCAATTGTTTTAAGAATTTAAAAATTTCAACAAAAATGATTCAAAAGCTTGCATTATGCGCTCATATACAAAATTAAAAGTTTTTCAGCGCATATTTAAATGCATGTATTATACAGTCAAATATTTGTTTACATCCACCTATGTGTGTATGTGCAACATTGTTAATACTGTAGTCAAACCAGTTGTCTTGTAATATGCAGTATTTGCTTTTGTGTGTTTGCATTTTAATTTTATTTATGTGTTTTTTTTTGGAATATTTTTTTTTTGGCATGATAAACGCATTTAAAATTTTTATAATTTGTGTTTGTGTGGAAAGATATTTTTCTTCTTCTGTATATACAGTGGCGGTTAGAAATGGCTGAATGGTGTGTCGGTTTTAATATTTACAATTTTTTTCAAGCTGAAATTTTTTTGTAATTTTTTATATAAAAATATGGTTCATGCTTTTACAAAACTTATATAAATAAGACTTACAAATTTTGTGCAGAACTTAGAAAAATTCCACAAATTTTCATCTAAATTTCGAGTTTTTTAACCAGAAATTTTAGAATTTTTTTTCAAATCTTATAAAATTCTAGTAAAATAAGTGCAAGTTCTGTTTTTTTTTTTATTGACGGCGTTCTGCGCTTTTTTCATATAAACATGAATCTCTTGTGGAAGAATATGCGAGAGACCGTTTGCGAAGAAAATAAAAAAGTCAGCGCCAGTGTTACTAGATTTCGCTCGTTATAGGAAAAAAAAAACGCAAAAGCCGTCAGCAAAAAAAAAATATTAAAAATCAATGCGATTCTATAGCCGCTAAAAACTTGCACTCATTTCACTAGAATTTTATAAGCTTGTTAACAGCATACCCAAAAAATTTGTAAAAATTCTGGTTAAAAAGCTTGAAATTTAGATAATTTTTTTTTTTGAATTTTTTTGAGTTCTGTATAAAGTGTAAAAGTGTGATTTATATAGTTTTTGTTAAAGCATAAACCATATTTTAATAAACATACACCACAAAAAATTATGGCTTGAAAAACATTGTAAATATTAAAAATTAAACACCATTCAACCATTTTTGACCGCCACTGTATATATCCATAGGTCTCTCGAAAACGTCTCTAATAATATTGTAGAGATTTTTTATTTAGATAATGTTTAGCATTCTAAGGTTATCGAGTTCGAAGTGTTATCTCTGAAAGTATGCGTACAAGGTTGCCACCTGTTCGAAATTAGTTATAAACTAAAGAACAATTCATAAAATGTGTATCAAATGGAAATTGTTTTAAAATCTCTAATTTGGAGAAAATTTTTAATAGGGTTGCCACCTATTATCTATCGCATACTTATTAACTTTTTTGTTTAGAAAAGTAAGACAAAATATTAATTTTCGCGGGTGCTAGTAAGTGTTATCCCTTAAGATAATAATCTAAGGCTGCCACTTATATTCGATTCGGCAAAATTTGCATAAAAGAGCTTGTTATGGATATCAA